TTCTCAAATCATTCTCCAAAAGAACAAGTAAGTACTCAGAAGAAGAGGAGGAACAGGAAGATCAAAAGGAATCTCCAGTGAAGCCAAGCAAGAGATTATTAAATATATGATTGGATAAATTTTCATTTTATGCTCCCTGGTAGTTAAATAATGAGCATTTCCTCAGTTTAGGTTGCATTAACACAAGACACCTTGATGAATGATTTTGGAAATCTGTTGTATTCTTCACCTGCAGCATGAGAATGAGACAAGCACTTTTTCCCCTCATGGTTTCTGAAATCTGCACCAGATCTCTCTGTGCAAAACTAGTGTCTGTTCACTTTCAAAAGCTAAGCACACACAAGAGAGAACAAAAGAGAGAAAGTGCAAACATAAAAGGATTGGCTGATGCAGGCAAATCATACAGTGTGTCTAATTTTAAAAAAAGATGGCACCTATCATGATTTTGTACAACTTGCATTGTTTCCATTATTTGTACAGAGATCTTTCTTGAAAATGCCAGATTGCTAATCAAAACTGATAGAAAATAGCTTAACCCCTCAAAACCAAGGAGAAAGGTTTCACAGTTTCGCGTTCTCATGCAAGTGAGGATTTGTACTGATGTAAGACATTGCTAGTCCATTCTGCAACTGGAAACTGAATTCTATCCCAGCAATTCTTAATTCAGAGAACCCTGATGTTTTTATTTAAGATTCCATTGGGCTGCCAACAGTTCTCCTTGAATCCCTTCAGGTACTGCTGCTGCAAATAAAGAAGCATCCACAAGGCTGATGAGTAGTCTAACCTCAACTGAACCTAGTAGGTAGAGTGATGGACTTTTCCAGCATGTGTGACTCCAAAAATTTTCTTAATTCAGTGTCGACTAAGGCAGAGGGAAAGCTATATATTTACACTACAGTTCCCAAAACCTTCTCTCCCCCCCCTTGCTTTAGAATGGTTAGTGGCTGCTAGGGGATTTGAGGAGCTGTAGTACAAAAACAAGCTCTGTGAAGCAGAAAACAAAGAATTGTAGCCAATTCTAGTGTTGAAACATTAGTGGTCAGACTGGGTGGCAAATTGTAGTCATTTAGTGGTCAACTCAGTGCTATTAGCTCACTGAATTAGGAGGACTTTGGTGAGTCAGCACCTATTGATTCAACAGACCTACTCAAGTTGAGACTTGCTATAGGAATTCAGCCCCTGTGAGATGCAGGCCATTTCTGCACATTCTGAGTGGTCACCCTATTATTTCAACACTTCATTGTCAGAAGCAGCTTCCCCAGCCCCAGCCCCATGCAGTATAAGGAACTACTGATTAGAAGAGGAAACAGACCAAGTAACACCCTGCGTATAGCTTTCCCTTGGATTCCTTGCCATTATACTTGAACATGGGTAGTCATCATCTTGAGTACTATGTCCAGTTTTGAACACCACACTTTCAGAAGGATGCAGACAGACTGGAACAGTTTCAGATGATGGCAACAAGGATGATCAGGGGACTGGAAAACAAGTCCTGTGAGAACAGAGGAAAAGAACTAGGTATGTTTAGCTTTGAGAAATGAAGCCTGAAGAGAGATATGATAGCGCTCTTCAAATACTTGAAAGGTTGTCATACAGAAGAGGAGCAGGATCTGTTTTCAATCATTCCAGAGTGCATGACACATAATAGCAGGCTCAGGTTACAGGAAGACAGGTTTCAGCTGAATATCAGGAAAAACGTCCTAACTGTTAAAATGGTACAGCAGTGGAACTAATTATCTCTTGAAGTGGTGAGTGTTGCAATACTGGCGGCATTAAAGAGAAAGTTAGCCATCTATCAGATATACTTTGATTTGATTTCCTGCATTATGCAGGGAGTTGAACTTGAAAGTCTTACAGGCCCTTTCCAACTCCATGACTCTATGATTCTGTGATAAATTAAAATCATCTTGGCATCAGTTTAAGACATCACACTTTGGCTTTCTTATCCCCAGCACCCCAGTCATCATTAAAAGTTTCCTTGTCTCTAGGGTGAACCTCAGACATTTTGCTGCCTAAGGCAGAACAGCAAGTAGGCTGTCTGTAGCCACCAAAATCAAGGTGCATAATATATATCTTGATGTTGGGGCACTCACCACTCTGGTCCATGTGCTCATAATCTCGAGATTAGACCACTGTAATGCGCTCTACGTGGGGCTATCTTTGAGATTGATGCGGAAGCTCCAATTGGTGCAGAATGCGGTGGCCAGAATTCTCAGTGGAGTGAGGAAACATCAACATATCACCCCTACCCTGGCCACCTTGCATTGGTTGCCCGTATGATTCCACGTTGATTTCAAAGTTTTAATGATCACGTACAAAGCCCTAAACAGTTTAAGGCCTCAATACTTGACGGAATGCCTGCTCCCACCTAGATCTACCCGTACCACTCAATCCAATCAGGAGGGGCGACTGAGGAGCCTAACACCGAAGGAGGTCTGGAAAGAAAAAAACAAGACACCGGGCCTTCTCGGCGGTGGCGCCTTCTCTTTGGAAAAAACTCCCTTCTGAGATCCGTTTGGCCCCCTCGCTGCACACTTTTAAAAATCAACTTAACACCTAGTTATTCAGACAGGCCTTCCCTCCAGGCACTATTTAATTTATTCTTCTTCCAAACTTGAACTATTGCTATCATTGTATAATGCTGTAACTGTTATTATATATTAATTGTTTTTATCTTGTCTGTTGTGAGCCGCCCAGAGTAGACAATGTCAAACAAACAAACAAATATAAGGCCAGTCAAATAGTTTTGGCATGAAGCAGACAATACCACAAGCCTTTCTCCCCTTTCTGATAATAAAAACCTGACCAAAATCCAGTTGTGAAAATGCCATAAGGGGGATTGTGCAAAGGGTTTTCACAATATTCCGGCTATCTGTCCTGTGTCTCAGCATGTGGTCAAGTGTGCATTTAAGTGCATGATGATCTGAGTACCTATGAGCACCCAACAGACAGTTGGAACAACCATGCACACCAGTTACAAATAGAAACAAATAGAGAAGGATGAATTTTAATTTCAAGGGGAAATAAAACTGACCTTTGAACAACATCTCTGCTTTGAAAAAAATATAATTCATTAGACTTAAAGTGTTGCTTTTTAGAACATGAGATTTTGGTGCTCTTGTGAGAAGGGACACCCAAGCAGATAATAACAAGACCACCAAGATCATTTCCCCTGTGAAGATATCTGCCTTGTATAGGTGACCCAACAGATCCATTTATAAGCACAAGCAGGGTTCTTTCCCAATAACAAAGATACTTCAAATGCTTTAGATAGGCAGTTGAAAACTGCCAAATGTATGACTGCAAATGTGAGTTGCAGATGGCATAGTAAAATGGCAAATGACTGCCAGTATATAGTAGTGACTAAACTGCAGCTTTAACCAACTTTCAGTTTTGTTCAGGAATCTACTCAAAAGGTAGCTTGATACTTATATAACTAATCAGTTCTTTTCTAAAGAAGAATAGTCTAGCAGATGCTCTGGGTTGAAAAACCTAAACAGATGAAGATAGACTTGATTTCTTATTTCTATGCCAGTTGAACCTCAAAACGTTAGGAGGCGAATCACAAGCATTAGCTATCATACAAATATTTGGTACCAGTTTAATACAACTATAACCCTGAGCTAGAGTGATCAGTTGCAATATGCCAGTAGTATGTGCCCAAATGACTGGTATCTGTCATTTGTAAATCACAATATATGCAATAAAACCCTTTTAAATCTCATTTACTTAGCCTTCTTTGATGAGTGTACCTGAATCTATGTACAAGGGTGCTTTCTCCTTGTTAGACTAATGCCTTCTTCACAAACACTTCTGTTGATTCTCTTCTTCCAGCATTTCATCCATACTAAAAGGTACTGAATTAAATGACCATAGCTCCATACCCAACCTTAAATGATTGCATAGAAAGTAACTATGTTATCAGGGCTGTGAAATTACATTTCCACCTTCCACCCCTACAGTGGATGATTTTAAAAGCCTGCTGCCCAAAGATACTGCTATATTGGTTTACACAAACTTAAAAAAAAAAGTCAACCAACAACCTGTCAATGACAATTAGGGCAGAATAATTTTCTTTGAAAATTTTGAAGAGCACTCAAGCTGAAACACAAATGAAGGACACACAGAAGATAGCAACAGTACCAGAATGTTCTTAGTTCTTCCTAATTCAGATTGATTGTTGAAGCAAAACACAAATAATATAGACAACTTGATTTGGAATGAATAAACTAATTTCAAAGTAGGGCTTAGTTCCTACCATCTTTTGCAATCTGTTAATTCGAGCTTTCATTCCTTAAAAAAAAAGAGAGAGAGAGAGAGGCATTAGTGTGAAATGCATTAAGCAGCAGTGGATGAAATTTTACAGGAGTTCTTTGCTGACACACTCTATGGGGAATAGTTTCAGCCACTCAAACACCTTGTACTGTACTGTTTTGTAAATTCATACTGTAGCTCGCAATGGAAAATTATGACATTATAGTTGCATATCATTCAAGCCACCCAGCTTTTCCTCGGTTTGAGAAAATCATAAATTATGTGTCATTAATTTTTTTTTTTTAAAAAAAGAATCAACCCCACACCTCAGAAGACTACTATTTCTCCATTGAGTAAGCCGGAGTGTAACTAAGGCTGTCATTACAATCAAACATCCATTTCCTGGAAAAGAAAATGTGATATATAGGAAAGACACCATGTCTAAATTCTACAAGTCACTTTGAGAGTATCTTCAACAACCAAATCCCATAAGTCTTGCCTTTGCTAAGTCTAAAAGATCCGGCCTTTCCACTGTCAAAGCAAGGTGGGTGAAAAAGTTGTAATGGGTCCAAGAAATATTGTGCTCATTGGCACAGATCTGCTGGTCTAGTACTTTTAGACTCCTCTACACACACACATACACACACACACACATACACACACTTTGAGACATATGGGAATATGGGGGGGACATGCTACACTGTATTGAACATGTACTAACCTTTTTCTTTTTCTTTTCTGTCCAGGAGGTGAATTAGTTATCCCTCTTCTTATAGAAGACCCTTTAGATATCCCTCCTATTGCTACTCGTGCACCTTTCATTACACTCCCCACTACCTTCCGCCCCCTCCTCACCATTATTGAGACCACCAAAGATTCCCTGTCCATGACCTCTGAGGCGGGGTTACCTTGCTTGTCGGACCAAGGCAGCGATGGTTGTGATGATGATGGCTTGGTGATATCTGGGTATGGCTCAGGGGAAACCTTTGACTCTAACCTGCCCCCTACTGATGATGAAGATTTTTACACCACCTTCTCCTTGGTAACAGATAAGAGTCTTTCCACTTCAATCTTCGAAGGTGGCTACAAAGCACACGCACCCAAGTGGGAAGCCAAGGACTTTAGACCTAACAAAGTCTCCGAAACTGGTAGGACTACTACCACAGCTTTGTCCCCTGAGCTGATTCGCTCCACAACTTCGGCCTCGACTGGGATGGTGCCCAAATTGCCAGCCGGCAACATGAATAACCGTGACCTCAAACCCCAGCCTGATATAGTCTTGCTTCCGTTGCCCACTGCCTATGAGCTAGACAGCACAAAACTGAAGAGCCCGCTAATAACTTCCCCCATGTTCCGTAATGTGCCCACAGCAAACCCCACGGAGCCGGGAATCAGACGGGTTCCGGGGGCCTCAGAGGTGGTCCGTGAGTCGAGCAGCACAACGGGGATGGTCGTCGGCATTGTGGCTGCTGCCGCCCTCTGCATCCTGATCCTCCTGTACGCCATGTACAAGTACAGGAACAGGGACGAGGGGTCCTATCAGGTGGATGAGACGCGGAACTACATCAGCAACTCGGCCCAGAGCAACGGCACGCTCATGAAGGAGAAGCAGCAGAGCACAAAGAGCGGCCACAAGAAACAGAAAAACAAGGACAAAGAATATTATGTGTAAAAAAAATTGAATACTTATTTATATATATAAATATATAAATACCTTATGAGATATAACTGAATCAAAACTGTTACACGGCTAACAAGATTGGGAGCTACAGTTTGTGTTTAAAACAAATATTGAGAATAAACATTTCAGCTGTTGACTGCTAAGTTTTCAGTCATCGCTTGGAGTCCCAAACTCTGCCCTACTGTATCATAAAGCACACTTAGCGTTCTGAAGAAGGCCTATGCAGCATTACCATGGTGGCGGACTTTAAAGCTTTCAGACCTCCTCCTCAGTTGAACTTTTCTGCAAGGGCAGAAGACTTCATGGCTTACTTGTTTCGTATCTCCAAGTGAGTCTTTAAAGATGTTCATGATCTTTGACTGTATGCTATTTTTTTTTCAGTTTAATTATTTAAAAAAATAACAAAAAAAAGAAAAAGAAAAAAATGCAAATGTTATAAACGAAAAAGAATAACTGATCTGGCCATGTCCAGCTTACGTATCATTTTTCAAGATGTGAGGGGGGGAAAGAAAAATAAATGGTTTGGGGTTTTCATTCTGTTTTTTTGTCTGAGTTTTTTTCATTTTCTGTGAGAGTTTTTGGGAGAATGAGCCAGGACATATGTCAAGAAGAAAACTTGGGGAAAAAATGTAATAGAGACTCTTGCCATATATGAACTGAAGTTCTACCACGGTGTTCGCTCTACATATCAGATTGTGTTGTCTCTTGAATCTGTTGTCTGCAGTAAGTTGTTAACATTAAAAAAAATGTGATGGGGTAGCAGTGATGATGATGGTGCTGAGACTGGAGAATGAGACTGGAAACCCGCTGCCCCAGGATCTGGCTCCAGTATTTGTAAGTGAAGTCATATGAAGATAAAACTGCTTTTTCCTTGACAAGGGGCCACCAATTGTATTTGGCTATCATTTATAGTATATAGTAGCACAGCTAAACTATGCGGGAAAGGGGGATTTTGAAACCAAACCAGGCAAAACATAACTCCTTAGCCATTCTGAATTGAACAGACAAGCAAAAATGAAGGAACCCTTCTTTGGGTTCTGGCTCTTGGTTGATGATGCATGAATGCAAACAATAGTAATCATTTGAATTAAGTGTTTAGAAAGATTATATTGAGTTCAACTTGTTGATAAGAACTAGAAAATGTCACATAAGCCAAAAAAACATGTTACAGAGGAGTACAAAATAGGGGTGGGTTTTTCCCCCCAAATCATGAAGTTGTGTTTCATATATAAAAGTTTAATTTTGTAGATTGACATCTCTAATTTGCTGTCTTTTCATTTGCCCTATTCTCCCTTTCCCTTCTCTTTTATATGAAAGAAGATAAATTTAAAGTCGCTATGACACACAGAAATAAAATAAAAATTAAAAGAGCTTATTAATAGTATAATATATATAAATTATATATATATATACAGATATATTTATCATGGTATGTTTGATGGGATGACTGGAACAGAAATGCTGTTAAAGTCTTAATATGAAATGAGAATGTTGTAAAGAAAAATGTTTTTACAAAACAAAAAATGCTAAACTTTGAAAATGTGAAGAGTGTGCATTTTAACTTTGTCACAGTTATCTGTGTCAAAAAGATTTTAAGATAAAAAAATAAGATTTTGTTTACATATTTTACTACAATTTTTTTTCTGGCTGGTGTAATTTCTAGATGGGTACCCTAATGTACATAATGCTATGAGGTTTCATTGGGTTATTGTTTATATTCAGTGTACTTAATTTTGCTTGTGTTTTTTTTTTTAAATCTTCCATTATTTTGAAAGAGAGCAACTTGATGTACAGGATAAAATAACCAACTAAGTGTTTTTTGGCCACAAATATCATGTGCAAAATAAATAAATGAATTACAAAGCAAAAAAGAGGGAAAGAAAGAGGTAATGAGAGAAAAAGAGACAGAGAAAAACCCACAAAAAATTCTGAGAGGACTCTGGCATATAAGAAATGTACAATTTTTCTGTGTACAGATGAAATCTAATCAGCTGTTTAGGTTTAGAAATCTACTCTTGCTGGTGTTTATAAGTCGCATGAATCTTTGACTTTGAAGAAGTGTTATCCAATGCACACACGCACATGAGAACAAAATAAAAAAGGCAGCCTTCTCAGATGATTTGAGAAGAGGCTTACCTGGCTAACAAATCTTTTCAGTGTGTGTGAGGTTGTGTTTGTTTTTTTTAAATTTTTTTTACACTACAACAGAGGGGAAAAAAATAGACAGGTTTTTCAAATGGTATGAAAGCACGATTTTAGACATGTTAACTGGCCGAACATATACGGAGTTGATTATACCTTGATGTCTGTAAAAGATTGCTGCTGTTCTTGAAGTCTTGGAGTCTTGTGAAATGGTTTTCTGCTTTCTTTCTTTATCTTTTTTTTTAATTTCAGAAAAACCATCTTTCTGTTCCTTTTTTTTCTGGTGTCTTTCTATTGGACAGTTTTTTTTGGGAACATGTGCATTTCTGTATGTTGGTTTTTACCATACCTTATTGTTTTTCTGGACAGAACCTTGAAGATTTTCTTTACTGTTATTGTGCCGTTATTGCTTTGTTTTCCCCTTCCCTCTGCCATTTCTTTTTTCTCCTGTTCTTTTCTTTTCATAATTGCCTTTTCGTTCAAGGATATGCTTAGCAATAAAATGTTCTTCCCAAAGCCCTTGTTGTTGCTGTCACTTTCTGTCCAAACACTGATAGAATGCTCCTTTTTCATAGGAAGTCTGTATATATGAAGACACCAGTTTTCTTTATTATTATGTTAGTTCCTCCATGAGAAAGAAGGGTATCATATATAGGTTGATCACATTTTATTTTCAAAATAATCCTTTGATATAGATGAAACTGAGAGGGAGATTTTCATGCAGTTTTCTGGCTCTGCAGATACTGAACAGATGTTGAACTTGGTTCTCTTACATTTAGACCCAACAATGTAACCAAAACATCATATTAGTTATACGTCTTCGTCTTCTTCTGTTTATTAAGAATATGATATTTCTATGCTTTGAGCAAAATAATCTATATTTTTGTATATTATTTTATTCATGAGGTGCCTATAAAATAAATTTACTTGGTGTCAGACAGCAATCTTTAAAAGGAAAACACAATCAAGTGAGAGTCTTTTGAAGATGTGTGATTACTCTGATATGAGTAATCCCTCTATCAATTTAAATCACAGCTATTTATGCAAAGTTGCTATGGCCAGTTCCTCATTTGAGGGCTATCCTTCTTGTAAAGGATCAATGAGAGAATGAATACCATACCATCAATGAGAGAATGAATCCACCATAGCTTACATTCCACTATCATAACCTTTAAGAACCCAGGGTCACCTCTGTGGCACAGTGAGGCAGCAGGGAAGATTCTGTAGAGAATACAATATAATCAAAGAAAAAACTTAAAAGCTGTACAAAATCCAACCCAATAAAGTTCAGTATGTATGCAATACAAAGCTAAAACTGTTGAAGGAGCAGAAGAGTGAAACCACCAAAATGTCATAGGGCTTAAATAGCAATGTTTTTTTTATTTAAAAAAAACCAAGAGAAAAAAAAGTTAACCTGGTGATGAAAGTTGAGCAAGGTGAGCTTCTCTGGAAAGACCATGTTATAACTGAGTGACTGAAATTAAGAAAACTTTCTCTTTATAGCTTCCCTCTTGGACCTCCAGAAAAGGGGACAGACAAAGACCTTTATAGATGGCCTGGGGCAATAGGCAGGCAGGTAAGGAAAAGAACATTAAGTCAGGTCCCAAGCTATGAAGTGCTTTAGAGGTCAAAATGACTAATGAGTACCCAGCTCATTGGGGTGCAAAATGTTGTTTGGATAATTATGTTATCAGGACAATAAACCAGCATAGATGGGATGGGACTAGCACAATATAATCTAGTGTCCATGTTTCCCATTGCCATATATTGTATCTGTAGTTCCTGTACCTTGTTCAAAGGCAACTCTATGCACGATGCCTTAAAGCAGTTCAAAAGTAAAATTGTCAAGAGCATGGATCACTACATCTTAGTCACCCATCTTCAGAGGAGGCAAAGTTGGGATACCATCCTAAATTGACATTCTGCAGTAACAGAAGCAGATTTAAGAGAAGCTATATGCCATAAAGGCCACGAGCCTTTAAAAATGGTGATGGACCCAGGACAGTCTCCAAGCTTCAGACTTCATCCTTCAGACAGCAGTGGCAAAAATGTCCAGAACAGGTTGATTCTCACTAATCTGGATGACAGAATTGCTCAGCAACACTGCCACTGTCGTGTCTCACTGGATTAAGCATCAGTTTATTTGGCCTTCATTCAAGCCATTCCTTTGGCCAAGTACCAGTAGAGCAAAGCAACATCTGCCTCTGAAGAGAAGGATAAACAGAGTTGTGTGTCATCAGCATACTGATCACAACACATTCTAAATGATCTTGCTCAGTGGCATCATATTGATGACAAACAGCACGAGAGAGAAATAAAATCTACAGGATCCCAAAGCAAAGATGACACAGGGTCAGTCAGGAATCCTGTAGCACCACCTTCTGGAAATGACCATCCATGTAAAAGTGAAACCACTGCCAAGCAATACCACCTACGCTCATATAACTGCTGCAGCAAGAGTTCAGAGTGAACATATTTATTAGGGGGTCAGCATCATCATTCAGAAAATCAATTTCAAAATCAGAAGGAAAAAGACTAAATTGGCATATAAAATAACAGCTAGGTGAGTTGCATGTTAAATATTATTAAGGGGCCATCATTCATAGATAAATTCAGATTCAGCCTCCAAAACCAAAAAGGAAAGTGTGCTGCTTATGTACCGCCCCCATATTGCTTAAGGCACTCTCTGGGCAGTTTACATTTCATTATACAGGCTATATATTTCCCACCAACAATCTGAGTAGTCCATTTACTGATCTCAGAAAGATGGAAGGCTGAGTGAACCTCGAGCTTGCTACCTGGCATTGAACCCTGGTCGTGAGCAGAGTTTTGGCTGCAGTATTATACTTTAAACACTGTGCCGTGAGGCTCCTCCAGTTTAAAAAAATCAGATTATATGAAGAAGCAGCCAATATGAAAGATCTCTGTCTGGATCAGTGGACAGCTGCTGATAGTCACATTAGAAAATACCAGATTAAGTGGACACATAGTCTGATCTGGTATAGGATGGCTTTTGGGGCCGCGGGAGACCATGCGCAAGCTAGATGCACTCTTGAGATCCTTTGTATCAGAGTGATGCTAGAGACTCTTTATACTTCTCACCAGGAATTAGAATCACTGCACTATGGTTCCTTACTGTGACACTGGAACTGAATTGCCACATTAGTCAGGGCAACAGCTCCTTTCCACAGTGGCATTGCTGTGCCTGGAAACTGGACCAGGGCTTGCTGGTGGAGGAAAGAGCCACAGTGTGACGAGCTTTCTCTAATGACTGCAGGCTTCTGGTAGGATAAGCAGCACAGGAATGATTCAGATTGCGCAGCCCCTATACAAACATGAACAAGGGAGCTTTCTCTAATGACTGCAGGCTTCTGGTGGGACAAGCAGCACAGGAATGATTCAGATTGCACAGCCCCTATGCAAACATGAACAAGGGAAAAAAATATTTATTTATTTATTTGATTTATATCCCGCCCATCTGGTCTGGTCGACCACTCCTTTACTTTTATCCAACCTTAAAAATGTAAGGATGCAGGAGGAAGATTTTGGAATTAAGTATATTTAGACCAGGCATGGGCAATGTGTGGCCCGGGGGGGGGTTTACATGCAGGCCCCCAGCAGCCAAAGGCCACTTGTTAAACACCCTCCAAAATTTTTATTTTATTTATTGAAATTTTGTGGGCAAAGGCCACTTGTTAAACACCCTCCAAAAAATTTATTTTATTTATTGAAATATTTGGGGGAGCCCTGGATACCAGAAAGACCCCCTCCTTCAATATGAACCTACCCAGTAGTTAAGATCTTGCCAGGGGGTCCTTTTGAAAGAGCCGTCCCTCAAGGAGATAAGAGAAAGGGCCTTTTCGGCAGCTGCCCCCAGGCTATGGAATGCCCTCCCAACTGAGATTCGTCTGGCAGTAGGTGAAAGAGCCATCCCTCAAGGAGATAAGAAATACTAGGGGAATGAATTATATTTTTTCATCTGTCCCTTTTTTCCAACCTGGAGTTTGTGTGA